TATTAGAGTACTAGGGTATAATAGATAAAAGGATATGGTATAAGGTTATAGTATAGTAATGAAATGTAATAGAATGTATATTAGATAATATATTGTACATTGGGGGGCTCACATAGAGGAGATAATAGGTTAAGGTATATTGGCAATAGGGTTTAGGATATGTATAGGTTGTAGGGAATTTTAGGGAGGGTATAATAGGGATATAATACTTGACTGAAGTATATGAATTATTTATATATGTTATTTTGGGTAATATTCGGCAATTTGTATTTAATGATTAGTATATGTATATGTAGTGATGACGTATGAATTTAAGTGTGTGATAATGTCTACTCGCGTTAGTGGAGCATGAATTAGGTAGACAAGTACATAGTAGGTAGAATATATTATGACTGGCATATGTACAAACCAGGACTAAGACAAACATGAGGCTACATAACTCAGTACAATAAACTCTCAGACAACAGATCAATGAGATAAGACAGTGGTGAAAATCATGATATATACTATAAGGGACGTGACATACCAGATAATAGAACTAGTGGTATTTGTATTATATATATGGTGAGCCTTAGTATTTTTATGATGGAATAAGATTAGATATTGTTATGATAGTATTACTTTGATAACAGTGATACTCCAGTAACAATAATAAAAATACTAGGACAGTGATCAGACAGAGGACTAGACCAGTATCTGAACTCGGATGCATGTATGTGGTGATGATGTGTGATGTGGATTGAGTGATTAGATGATAGCTGTGTGGTTGGTTCGCAGTATGGCTGAGGATTGATGGTGTTGGTGTGTGATGGATGGTTGTAGTTGTGGTACTAGGATATTGTATATGAATATAAGTTACTAGACAGACAGAATAGATATAATATAAATATAGAAAAAACTAATAAATTAATTATTTTAGTATATAATAAATATATATAGACAGACAGTGAACTAAGATTATTATTAACTCTCTATAATAAAAAAGATAATACTGTAATTATACTCGGTGATTAATAGTACATGTTAGTATTGATATGCTTTGTCGTTAGATAATCTCAATGAATTCTCTCCCCGATATTTGGTATATAGACAGCCAGAATAATAGATTAGTATTGTAACAATTAATATATACTACAACAATTAAATTATGGAAGGACAGACAGCAGTATTAAATTGGATGCTTAAGGGAATAATCATTAAAACCTAAACTCAGAATTTCCTATTATTCATTCTATATTTCAATTAATCCCCCCCCCTCTATCACCCCCCAGCTCTCTCTCACCCTATCATGATACTCGTCCCGATCGAAAAAATATTAATTTTTTGCGCAACAGGAACTGAATGAAGCTTTGGAATTTGCAGCAGGCATGAAGAGCACAATACACCACGACACACGCACACACACGCACAACACACACCGCCAACGCAAACACGCACTACGCAACACCGCACCACCCTCGCACACACACACCAAACCCCACACGCACACACACACACCACACATATATATAGTATATATCATATATATATATATATATATATAATATTATATATATATATAATATATATAATATTATATTAAAAGTTAAACAAAAAGATGAATACACGTGAAAACCTGAAACCCAAAACTGTTAAAAACCAAAAATTAAAAAAAAAAAAAGAAAAGATAAGAATATAAAAAATTAAAAAAAGAAAGAAAAAAAAAAAAAAAAATAATAAAAAAAACCCCGAAACGTCCATCCCCGTTAACATATGTTAATACAAATCAAAGTAAAGAAAAGAAATGCACTCGGGTGCGCGTATAAAGGCGTCATATATTACAGGAAGTGTAGAGCCTTAATACAGTTAAAGTGTTATATTATTCCGAGTCTCTGATGTCCGAACCCTGGCCTTTGTCGGTTGTGATCCGTTTTGGGAGAGGAAGAGATAGAGTGATCGAGAGAGAGAGAGAGATGAGAGAGGGCGGGGGGGGAGGGTCGAAAGTGAGAGACACGATGAGAGGCGAGATATGTAGAGCGATGAGAGAGAGAGATAGAGATGAAGAGACAAGATGAGAGAGGAGATGAGAGACGGGCGAGAGAGAGAAGAGAAGACATCAGAGTTTGGATGAGAAGAGAGAGAGAGGCGAGGAAGGAGAGGGGACCATCCGGAGGAGGGTAGGAGGTGAGGGGTAATTGAGGGACGGGAGGTGTATGGAGGATGATGGAGAGGAAGGAGAGATGAGAGAGAGAGCAGAAGGAGAGATTCGAAAGAGTGATGAGAGATAGAGGATGAAGAAGAGGGTAGAGAATGATGATCGAGAGAGATAAGAGTATAGGGGATAGATAGAGAGAAGTGGGGTAGAGTACGGAGTGGATATGAATGAAGAATGAAGAGAGAGAGAGATGAATAGAGATATGAGAGATATGAGAGAGAGAGAGGAGGACAGTATATCAGATGACAAAGATGATATAGATACGTACGATTATATGAATATATAGGTATATGTATATGTATATGAATTATATATATATGTATATGTATTATGAAGTTATATATATATGTATATGTATATGAATTATATATATATGTATATGTATATGAATTATATATATATGTATATATATATATATATATATGTCTATGTATATGAATTATATATATTTATATATATATTTTATATATATATATATATATATATATATATATATATATTATATATATATATGTGTGTGTGTGTGTGTGTGTTTATGTATGTATGTGAATTTTATATATATATATATATATATTATATATATATATATATATATATATAATAATATATATATATATATTATCTGTGTGCATGTTTGCATAAATAAGTGTAGGCATGGATATATATACATATATACATACATACATACTTATATATATATATATATATATAATATATATATATATATATATATATATATATATATATATATATATATATAAGTATGTATGTATGTATAATGTATATATATCCATGCCTACACTTATTTATGCAAACATGCACACAGATAATATATATATATATATATATATATATATATATATATATATATATATATATATATATATATATACATATATATATATATATATAATCCATTGCAGAGGCTGATGTTTATTTGTGTCGAGTTCCATCTGTTTTAATGTCTTATATAACTTACAGAATATACACAATTATCTTAAGTGGCCAGGACTATATTATTGTGCCAAATATTCTCGAGTGAAAAAGAAAATTGTGAGAAGTACCATGAACTTTTAAAATGATAAAGCATTGTATTTTCAAGGATGCATTTTTATAGTGAATGTGCTTTAATGCCATGCAAATGATGGTGGAATGTCTTATCTTATGACTTGGAATGGAATCACAGTTTTTGTAAGTGTTTTCTCCCTTCTTTTAAGAAATATGATGAATTTTACAAAAGGTTAGAGAAGAGATCATGACCCCTCCTTTGTTTGCTTGTAGGTAGGTATTAATACTACCAATATTCTGATATTTTGCTGAAGTAGGAAAAGCTATAGATAATACTATAATACTGCAGATCTGAGTATTTAATTTTAAAGGTGATTGCAACATTGCCTTAAGAAATCTTTTGATGTAGAAGTGATGTAAGTATAAATATCTTTTTGCACATTCATGTAGTTAAATAAGCATAATACTTTATTTTTATGTACCAGCTGCTCCTGCTCCTTTTGCTGCTGCTGCACAACCTTTACCTCTTCCACCTCATCCTGGCACTGCACCCCCTCCACCTCCTTGTCTATTTCCTCCTCTTCTTCCTCCTCCCCCTTCTCCCACCCTCCCCTTCATCTTTCTCTTCCCCTTCCTCACCACACCACCACCAACTGCTCCTTTTCTTCTTCCTCTGCCTCCTCAGTCTCTTTCTCCTCCATTTCTTCTTCCTCCTCCACCTCCTCCTCCCACATCCCTCCCCTAATCCCCCCTCTCCCCTATTTCCTCCATGTGAAGCACCTACACCATTCATTGTCACTACCACCACTACAAATATCAAAACCATTATCTTCACTTTAATCAACAACAAAAGAAATATTTCTTTAACAATGCTGCCACCATTACTGAAAACCTCACCACTACCACCATCAATGTCAACTTTTAGATTACACCACCATCATTAAACTACTACTACTACTACTGCTGCTGCTGTTGCTACTTCTACTACTATTACTACTTATACTTATACTACTACTACTGTTTCTACTACTTCTACTACTACTACTTCTGCTTCTACTGCTACTACTTCTACTTTTACTGTTGCTACTACTACTACTACTTGTACTTCCATTATTTCTACTTCTATTTTTACGATTACTGCTACAACTATTACTTCTACTTTTACTTCTACTGCTACTATTACTACTACATTTTCTTATTGTACTGTAGCTCTTACTACAACAATCACCATTTTCTGCTACTAGCAACTACTTCTATTGCTTTTGTTATAGGAACTTACTTATTACATTATTTTGACTTCACTAGCTAAAATGCAATAATCCATCCACTTCATAATAAGCTGTAAACTGCCAACATTGTTTTTGTAATTTCATGCCACTTTTTTTTTTTTTCTTTTTTATGATGTAAATGTAATTATTGTTGATTCTTCTTCGGTAGCTATTTATCTGTTCATATTTTTTTCTTTTTTCTTGAATTCCAACATAGGCAATTTTTTGCATCTTTCAATAAGGAATTATGAAGAATTAATAAGGGGTTAATGTTGCATTTAATAATGGGTAACTTCATTAAATTGCCATTTTTATGTATTATGATATTATCATCTTTATATTATGAAGATTTTTGATGTTCTATTGTATAGTTGTTTTACATTTTGGAACTGTCTGAAAATGCATCTGTAGTCATCTGAAATATTAAGTTGCAAAACTGTGGTCCAAATGTGTGATAAATATCCAGTATAACTTATTGTGTATAGGAAAGAGAAATTTATGTATAATACATTTTTTGTATCTCCCAAAAGATAGCTGATATTCTACTCATCATTTGGACAATTATGCACAAGTGGGAGACCTTCAACACTTTATACAGCAAGTATATGCACATCCATATCATATAGATTGTGCTTGATTTATTCTTCTGCTTTTTCTATTAGTTTTTTATTCTCTTCTCTCTTTTCTTACTGCAGTCAAAGGATAATACACTTTTTTTTGACATGAGGATAAAATGACAGTATATTTAAAAAAGAAAGAAAATAATCTATTAAAAAAATATATATATATATTCAAGAAGGAACTTGTTTGTTTATGAATACCTGGATCGATGTTTGAAACTATTCATAAAAAGACAGTTGTATTACGGAGGTATGTGTTTTGTAGAGGATTTATTTATTTCGCTTTATTTTTTATTCATTATGATATAATTTTGCCTCATTTTGTTCCAGTTTTAGTATACCTATTACCATAATGATACTGAAGGATATTATTAATCTAGTATATGTCAGATTGTAACTTAATGAGTTAATAGATTGAGTTGTCTTTATAGAAATTATATGCTCAAAGATGAACATTTGGTCTTTATCTCTCCTGGTAAAACAGCAACCATACACTGTGTGTGTGTGGGTGGGTGTGGGTGTGGGCAGGTGTGTGCATGCATGCGATGTGTGTGTGTGCATGCTTGCCTGCTTGCGTCTGTTCATGCGTGCGTGTGTGTGTTTGATTGTTTGTTTACTTTGTGTGTGTTTCTTTTTGTGCAGAAATAACCTAGTCCACTGATGGGTCTCAAACTAAGGAAAAAAAAAGCATGGTTGCTTTATTGAGATGTAAAATTTTAAATTATCAATAGTATATTTGTTTGTTGTACATTTGTTTTGTTCACATTAAAATATTAGAAACATGTTTTACTCAGGTAGAGATGTAGATTCATCTGCTGAAGAGGTAAACTAGCAAGGGCATGTAATGAAAATACTCAATAACATACTCTGAATAGGTTTGTGATTAACATGATTTTCCATAAAATAGCTACTACTACTAAAGGATCCCTAACTCATGAAGGCACTTACTGACATTATATGAGTGAGGGAATATAATTTTGTGTATTTCAATTTTTAAGGGATGGCAAGCTCCTGAGATGGACAAAAGAAGAGAAAAGCATTACCTCCTATACAAATGAAAAACTGTGCTATTGAAATTATAATAAGAGTGAGGACAATTTGTCATAAAAATATAATATTAGACTTTTCAAGACAAATCATGATGCACATAGCTATGTAGACACAAGGGTTAACACTGGCTAACTCTGATGCCCAAGAGTAAAAATTGTAAATGCAGTAAATTGGGTTCCCTGTCCAATTGTATATAAAGGCTGAGTAGTAGAGGCATCATTTCCTCAACCCCGAGTGGTGCTAGTACTTGCAGTTAGGTCAACTGAAAGATAATTGGACTGGCATGAAAATAAAGACCCTTCAGCTACAAAGTCACTTTCAGACCTCTAACACTGAGCTGTAAAACTTCGCCTTAATGTCTCTTGCATAGATACAAAGATAATATTATATATATATATATATAGTAGTAAGTGATAGAGATAGGTATATGTAATATATATTGAGTATAAGGGAGGGGAGGAGGGATTATATATATGGGTGATAGTCTGTGAGTGGTAGCATATATATACATGGCTATACAGGGACGGGAATGTAGTGATGTACATAGATCATATCGCGTCAGTAAGTGTACATGATATGGATTGGAGGGGAGGAAGGGAGAGGAGAGAGAGGGAGAGAGAGAGAGAGAGAGAGAGAGATGAGAGAAGAGAGGAGAGAGAGAGAGAGAGAGAGAGAGAGGAGATATTTTTTTTTTTAAAAACAGGTGTACGAATAGCAACATATGTATAGTATATAGATAGTAAGTAGGTATATAGTAAGAGATGATGTATTGAATGTATATAGTATATAGCATACCATATATATGAGATATAGAGTATATATGGTGAATAGATAGTAATAGTATAATAGATAGTAAGTATATGTAATATATGTAAAAGAGAGAGAGTAATGAGGGAGGTATGATAAGGTTGTAGTAATATACATGATGATGTTATACAGAGGAGGTGAGGTGGAAGGGAGGGAGTGAGAGGGTAATTAGTTGTATAGAAGGAAGGGATGAGAAGATGATAGAGTAAGTGAAGTGAGAAGTATAGTGAGTGAGGGATGAGAAGGGAGAGAGGTGAGTGAAGTAGTAAGGTGGAATGAGTGGAGGATATAGGAACTGAGAGTAGGTATGTAGAGATGAGTGTGATGAGTGCATGTGAAGAGATGATAGATGTAGGTAGATAGGTGTAGAGTGGCAGTGGGAGGGAGGTTAGGATAGCAGTAAGGTTTAGTAGTGAAGTATATATGATATGGACGAGAGATGAGAAAGAGAGAGATGAGGGATTGAACGAATGGAGATATAGTAGTGTAGTGCAGATGTGAGGGAGGAGATGAGAGTTAAGAAAGAGAGGAGTATAATAGTAGTATGGTATGAGATGAAGTAGAGACATAGATAAAAGGTAGAGGAGTATGGGAGGATGGAGGTATGAGGGATTGGAGNTGAATGAATGTATATGACGGGTAAACTAACGATAAGACAATGATTATAATCCAAATAATCATGAGAAAAAATTGTATTCTATTTCAACCATTTACAGAAAACTCACACTTTTCAACAAACCCAGTAATCCTATATCTTAAAAAATTCGCATGGTGAGGTTTAAAGCGACTAGAATTAGTAACAACAATGAGTGCTAAATACAAATGATGACAATGATTCAGTAGTTTTCAGTCAAAACAGACCACAAGACACAAGTTTTGGGACCTAAATCGCACAATGGTTTCTTAGATTGTGGCAGTCAGGATGTTGCTTTCGGGCACTCCTCTTTGTGTGTGGTGGTGGTGGCCGGGGGGGGGGGGGAGCTGGCGTACGACCAGAACACCCACGTTCTCCCACCCCCTTTCCTTCTTCCCCATCTCCTCTTTTATCCCTCTCCTTTTTTCTCCCCTTCCTACTATCTCCTGCTTTTCCTACTTCCCCTCTCCCTCTTCCCATTCCTCCTCCTCTCCCTACTACCCTCGTCTCTTCCTCCCACCTCCTTCATGTTCCCCCTCCCCCTCCCTAAGCACCAGTTCTTCCTCCACCACCACCACCACCTCTTCCTCCTCCTCCTCCACCCCCTCCTCTTGCCCGTTACTAGAACGATGTAGACCAGTCAGACCAGTCGGCGCTTTTTTCCTATTTTTTTTTCTCTCTATCTCTCTCTCTCTCTCTTTCTCGATTCCCCCCCCCCCTGGGATCCGTGGATTACCGGGGGATGTTCCTGAGCGTTCCAGATATCGGCGCAAAATACGTTTTGTATGAACACGCAGCAAGAACTGATATTAGCAGAGGTGGGGAAAGGCTTATTTTTTTTCAAGGTCAGTAGGGTTACAGCTACTTCCTTCTATCTTTTCCTTCTATCCTTACAGCCTTCTCATCCCGAAGAAAATAAGATATACAAATACATGGGTATGTACGTGCGTATGTATATAAGAAAAGAAAAATAGAAAAGAAAGGAAGACAAAGAGTCCTAAAGAATAAACAAAACCCTCAAAGCTCGCCTTGCGGAACGTCGTCACAACCTCCTTATACACCAAGAAAATCTCGCCTCGTTTTCGTTCAAATTAGAGAATCCAAAACCCTAAAAGAAGGATCAGAGGCTGAAAGCGAGTTTGATCTTACCCTTTTTTTTTAGAATTACACACAAGATTCCAAAATCCTAAAGGAGGTCCAGAGGTTTAAGACGAGGTTGATCCTACTTTTTTTCTTTGAATTACACAAAGGAGAATCCAAAACCCTAACGGAGTACCAGAGACTTTAGGAGGAGTTTAGATCGTAGCTTCTTCCTTAGTCTGGAATTACACAAAGAAGAATCCAAAACTGTTGCTTCTTAAGAATCGAAAACTCTAAAGAAGTACCAACTGCTTAATACAAGTTCGAACCTACCTTTTTTCCTAGAATTACTCACAAAAGAATCCAAAACCCCCAAAGGACTAACAGTGATTTAAGGCGAGTTTGATCCTACATTTCTTCCTAGTCTGGAATTACACACAAAAGAATCCAAAACCGTTGCTGCTTTACGTTGAAAACAAGGTGGGAATTCAAGCAACAGGAACCAGGTTTCCCACGTGTGCAATAATCGAGGTCTTCAAGAAGGAACATATGTTAAGGAAGTAAATGAAAAAAAGAAAATAGTGTATGTGGTATTTATATTTATTTGTTCATTATTTTTTGATGAACAAGAACATTGTGTTATTGTATAATTGAGAAGGTTTTCTTGGTTGATGCGGTTTTATATTATGTGGGTTTATTTCGTTCTCTTCGGGTCTTTTTTCTGGTGTAGTTCATTCTTATTTTTACTTAATTATCAACATTATCACATATATTCATTATTATTATCATCATCATTATCACCATCAATATTATTATTGGTATTTTTATCATTATTTTTATCAAAATTTCATTATCATTATCAACATTGATGTTATAATCAGCATTATTATCATTATTTTCATAATTGCTAGTATCTTCATTATATCATCATCATATTTGCTACATCGCACAAGAATGCAATCGGTATCGATCTCATTATCCCTTCGACCTGAAATTTCCTCTCTGTCAAATGCCTCTGGAGTTAACAACATTTTTTGGCAACATTCCTCTTCCAGTTTATGACATTCCTTATGCAATCTAACCCCTGGGAGCATTCTCCAACCCTCCTCCCTTCTCCCTCACCGCCTCGTCCCTCACTCCCTCACCACCTCCTCCTCCCTCCTCCCTTCCCTCTCACTGTTTCCTCCTTCCCCTTTCCTCCTCCCTCCTCCAATCTCCCTCACCATCTCCCCCTACTCCTTTCCTCCTTCCTCCTCGCCCCTTCCCTCTCCAAAACCTCTTTCTCTCCCCTACTCACCTTCCCCTCCTCCTCCCCCCTCTCTCCCCCTCTTCCCCCTCCATGTTCCCTCTCTCCCCATCTACCCCTCTCCCCCCCACTTCACCTTTCCTTCTCGTTTCAAGGTTATTCGAGTCTTTTTTCTCCCTTGAAAGTCTTCTCCTATTTGCACTGTTGCATGTTTTTATATTTTGAGGTAATGGGTTTCGGAAAAGTGCTATTATCGTTGTTATTCTATTACTACTATTATCATTATCTGTTGTCGTCGAATTATTAGTACACGGAGGTGGAACTCGATAGCATTGAAATTAAAAGGATTGCGAGAGAATGAGAAGAGAGAGAGAGAGAGAGAGAGAGAGAGAGAGAGAGAGAGAGAGAGAGAGAGAGGAGAGAGAGAGAGAGAGGGAGAGAGAGAGAGAGAGAGAGAGAGAGAGAGAGAGAGAGAGAGAGAGAGAGAGAAGAGAGAAGAGAGAGAGAGAGAGAAAAGAGAGAGAGAGAGAGAGAGAGAGAGACAGAGAGAGAGAGGAAGAGAGACAAGAGAGAGAAACGGAAAGGGATAACTGTTCATACTAAAGATTAAAAAAAAGTACTCGCCCTCCTCTTGTGGA